TTTCGTTCGCATGTTTGAGTTTAAATCGATTGCTCGTCCCCGGGGCAGTTCAATTCCCCTTGCACGAAATTACCTGCACGTGTGGGTTATCTTATGCCAAATAAACGAAAAACGACGCGCTGTTTATCCCTCGATTCACTCTTTGTGGGTTGCAGAGGCTAATCACAACCACAGTAATGAGAGAATGTTATTTCACGGTATGTGATTACTTTGCAGTAATTTTTTGATAACAGTCACTTTTTTTCTAAAGTTAAGAGTAAATCATCATCAAACAATTCTTACTTTTCTTTTAGGGTCGGCATTTATCAACGCTATTCTACAAAAGGGATTCGATGAACGTCATGCTTACATTGGAGGGATGTTTGGAGCAGGTGATAATTTTTTTTTTTTTAATCGAAACAACAACACTTTATAGCGTGCATTTCAAGCCTTCAGTGAGGCAGTCCTAAAAATAAATAAAAGTATAAAAGTATAAAACGTACCCAAAACTAGCTCTTTAGCTCTGTCGTACCCCCTTCTACCTCAGTCAATTTTTCTTGCAACTTGTCTTATGCGCCGCTGCTATAAAAATTCCCCGAGAACGCGTTGCCTAATATATCACCCCCTGAAATAACCAGGTGCAACGTTTGCGTTGGACCAAGCCTTGAAGGAAGTTGGACTTGTTTCTTCTTGTGGGATGCTTGCTGTAACAAAAACTACCAGGCAAATTGCAGGGGCTTTAAGAGGAACTAACACAGTCATTTGTGCAGGTATTTACTTTGCGGAGAACTCTTCAAAGAGCAATCAGTATGTGTATGGTATTGGTGGTGGATCAGGCTGCGCTCTACACAAGGACAAGTCCTGTTACTTATGCGAAAGGTAACAGCTCAAGTTATTTAAAGGATATTTTTAATAGAGAAGTATAACCTGAACTTCAGAGGTATTAATGGTATTGGTGGTGGATCAGGCTGCGCTCTACACAAGGACAAGTCCTGTTACTTATGCGAAAGGTAACAGCTCAAGTTATTTAAAGGATATTTTTAATAGAGAAGTATAACCTGAACTTCAGAGGTATTTGTAGAGCACAGTATTTATCAGCTAAACCAACTGCACAAAAGAGCGCCAAGCCTGCAGGAAAGCTGTCCACAAAAAATTCGCGCGAGCGGAAAGCGAAAGGAGAATGGCCCCTCGCGGGCGCGCATCGCTTGTTACTCGAAATGGAGAGCTTGTCCGCCGGCTGAAGGGCGCTCGATTTTCCCCTTTCTTAGGGCTCTTGAGTTTCGAACTTCCACCACGCAGGCTACTGTGAATGTCTAAAAGCATTGGCAGGTTTGGGAGAATTAAAATTATGATCAAGTAGAACACCTTGTATTAGATCACCCTTCCAGAATTGTAAAATGAAAATATCTCCATATCCACTCCACTCAATGTTTTTCCATAATAAATTAACAACCACTGATTGGGATTCTTAAGCCACACTTCTTATGGCTCAGTTTATAAGTAATTAATAATGATTTATATGAATGCCATCTGATGTGAATTTGAATCCAATGGAAGTTTTCATTCTAGTTCGTATCTTATCAATGCAATGTTTTTTAACTGGCAGGCAACTTCTTTTATGTCGTGTTGCCCTTGGTAAGCCATTTTACCAGTTTTCAGCCGTCAAGATGGCGCACGCACCTCCCGGTCATCATTCAGTTATTGGACGTCCCAGCTCAGATGGGCTGTCGTTTGCCGAATACGTGGTGTATAGAGGGGAACAGGTATGTCAAGAGCTGTGTTTTCTTTTCTCGTTGCACTTGTGGCTGTCGTATAAGAGAATGTTAGAAGCGTCGTGGTTTGCAATCATCCTGGCTGCCATAAGGACTAGATGGATTTTAAGAGAAAAGGTGGACTGCAAACAGTCTACAATCGATTACATTGGGTGCGACTTTGGCATACATTTTTGGGCCAGAATGACAAAAGCTAAATTTGCATGCAACAGAATCTTCATACCGTCCAACCTCTGCACCGTGAGGCTTGCTAATTTGTGGACGCATCAAAGTCGTCCTTCGCGATAAATTCGTAGTTTCCTTTATTTATTGAAGTTTTCAGTGTTGTCCGCGGGGAACAGGCGCTCCACTGACATAAAGCACAGACATTTGGAGCGACACACGTCAACCGGAGGTGAGATCTATTCCCTCTTAATATGCCTTGAGGCTACCACATTTGTATGTGTTCACTCTTATGCACACGATCTGCCTTAAAATTTGGGCAAACCGCTGTCCAAGGGTGCAAAAAAAGCCACCTCGGTTTACGTGCGTCGCCCAGACACGTCTTGGATTAAGCTTGTTGATATGAGCTATTCAAAAAAATGTAAATACAGGATTTGGTTATAATAATATGATGCAAGTGTCTTTTTTTTTTCAATCGATGTGCCATTTGCTTAATTATCTGACACACTACCTACTTGTTTCCTTTGTTGTTGTTTACAGGCGTATCCAGAATACCTTATCACGTACAAGATTGTTAAACCCTCCAACGCTGAGGCATCTCCATAAATTCCTTGTACATCACTATCAACTAAGAATCTGAATGGCTGAGATTGCTGTGAATATCTACATAACCGCATAAGCGTCACAACCCCGTTTAAAGAAATGTATGACCCCTACTAAAGGGGTTAACAGCTTCTTGGAGTAACCCGAAACGTGATGAGAGAGAAGGGACAAGAAATAGGATGCACAAATTCGAAGAAAACCTGTTCCCGAAAAAGACTATTAAGGTCTCGGTAAAGGAAAACGAGGTGCCCACAGAAAAAAATTCTAGTCGCGCGAGTATTTTCGCTACAAAGGCAAGTTATATATCAAATTAAAGCTAAAAGACTAAATTACCAGGGGCGGATCTAGGGGGAGGGTGCAGGGGGTGCGCACCCCCCCTGAGATGACCTGCGGTTTTTTAAAACAACTGGTATTCTGCAAAAAAAACTATGTGGTTTATTGGTGTTGAAGTAGAGCAAGAGACGAGTGCACCCCCTCCTAAAAAACATCCTGGATCCGCCTCTGATTACCTTATAAACGTTTTTATTTCATCGAATTTCAAAAGGCGCTTAAGTTTTTAGGTCTTTTATCTGTCTGTCTGAGTTCGAGAGCAAAAAACTTAGGCGCCTTTTGAAATTCGATGAAATAAAATCTTTTATAAGGTAATTTAGTCTTTAAGCTTTAATTTGATATATAACTTGCCGTTCTAGCGAAAATACTCGCGCGACTAGAATTTTTTTCTGTGGGCACCTCGTTTTCCTTTACCGAGACCTTAAGGTGGCTCGACTGGATTTTTTTAGCAGGATACCTCCCAAGTTTGAGCCTTAACTACGTCGGCATGAGTAAAGATATGGAAAAAAGGTTACCACAACTGTATTATATAAAGATGAAAATTTCTTATGATCTGGGTTTTATTGCAATCGGAGTCGCCATGGCAACGTAACGACGCCATTACGTTTTTCATTTATCGTTGTGTTTCTCTGTACCAGGAGTTTTTTGAAGAAATCGCTTAAGGGAGTATGTACCTGCCATAATTGCCTCCATTATGGCAAAGTTTGAAGAAATTCTATGAGAGCGTTTTCGAAATATTTTGAAATGCAGTTTTAAGAATCATAAAAACAGTGAAATAGCATGCTAGCCGCACAATTCGCTAATATTTTAAGAAAATGACAAGCTTTGGGAACGCGGCTTCATCTCATAGTGGATTGATTCCATTGAAAACTGCATACAAAAAAAGAGGGGAATTGCTCTGGGCGATCGCGAGTAAGAAGGATTTTATTAACTTGCATTCAGATGCTTTTGATACAGTTTTTGGAGGTAATTTGTTCCATGCCTAAAAATTTCGTATTTTTCCAAAAACCGCTCGATAAATTTTTTTATAAATTCGACAATCCCGAGATCAATCGTCAAGAAATATTCCCTGCAAGTTTTAAGGACATTGAAAACAGGGAAGGCTTTTAAATAGGGCCTCAAATATAGCCAATTTTTCCCCCAAATTTTGTGTTTACAAGCGAGCGTCCTCATTATTCACTGGCATTGTTTTCAAGTTTCATATACACGTGCACATTTAGCAAAAAGATAGAATTTGCATCAAAAAGGACCCTTGGTTAAATCTTCGGGATATGCTAATTAACGGGTAAAGAGGTTAGTGATACATTATAACATCAGAGCAACTCTTTGTGATGTTCTGTGATGTTATAACCCGGGTAAGATAATTAAGTATTGCATCCTACACGGTGAGCCGTGACGTTCACCGTTTCGGCTCTCACTGCTATCTGTGACGACAAGCCAATTATTAGCATATACCGGATATTTCTTCGGAAAGTAATCGAGAGTTTTTTTTGATGCAAATTTATATCTTTTGCTAGTTGTCCACGTGCATATGAAACTTGAAAACAATGCCAGTGAATAATGAGAACGCTCACTTGTAAACACAAAATCTTGGGGGAAAATTGGTTATGTTTGAGTCCCTATTTAAAAGCCTTCCCTGTTTTCAATGTTCTTGAAACTTGCAGGGAATATTTCTTGACGATTGATCTCGGGATTGTCGAATTTATAAAAAAATTTATCGAGCGGTTTTTGGAAAAATGCGAAATTTTTAGGCATGGAACAAATTACCTCCAAAAACTGTATCAAAAGCATCTGAATGCAAGTTAATAAAATTCTTCTTACACGCGATCGCTCTGAGCAATTCCCCTCTTCTTTTGTATGCAGTTTTCAATGGAATCAATCCACTATGAGATGAAGCCGCGTTCCCAAAGCTTATCATTTTCTTAAAATATTAGCGAATTGAGCGGCTAGCATGCTATTTCACTGCTTTGATGATTCTTAAAACTGCATTTCAAAATATTTCGAAAACGCTCTCATAGAATTTCTTCAAACTTTGCCATAATGGAGGCAATTATGGCAGGTACATACTCCCTTAAGCGATTTCTTCAAAAAACTCCTGGTACAGAGAAACACAACGATATATGAAAAACGTAATGGCGTCGTTACGTTGCCATGGCGACTCCGATTGCAATAAAACCCAGATCATAAGAAATTTTCATCTTTATATAATACAGTTGTGGTAACCTTTTTTCCATATCTTTATTCATGCCGACGTAGTTAATGCTCAAACTTGGGAGGTATCAACCCCAAAAAATCCAGTCGAGCCACCTTAAGCTTACAACGAGGCTGAGATTCAACTTTGACTGGCCCCAGTTGTTCAAAAGCTGATAGCACTATCCACCGGATAAATCACTATCCAGTGGATAAATCAGATTAGGAAAACCAATTGCGCTATCTAGTGGATAGAGATTTATCCGGTGAATAGCGTTAACCACCTTTTGAACAACCTGGACCTGGCTTATGTACTTCAGAGCTGATTATGGATTTTAAAGAAAAACACGAAGTAAGATGGCAACAAATTAATCATGAACATTGTACTTGTATATTACCTTAGAAAAATTTTATGTAATCTTGTAATTTAATATTGTACGTAGTAATCATGCAGTTAATGCAAAACAAAAAAGGTTATCCAACCGTGTCCTGACAAAGAAAAAGTTTTTATCCCCAATGGAAAGCAGGTTATTTACATACCGTATAGAACCACAAACTGTACTTTCAGCAGGTTATCCTCCGCGCCAAATAAAAAACCATTTAATAATCGGTAAAGCCCAGCGAAAGGGAATTTAGACTAAAATATTATCGAAAGCCTTAGTTGACATTACTTTGAAAAATAAGTTTACATTGTGGGCAAGTGTCTAAATTGGCAGTTGATTTTCTTTCTGTGTTTTTTTCACTAGTTTGGCCTTGACTGTTGGGGATTTCTTGCAACAGTGACACCTGTCACTCACCTCTTATTTAGACAATCTATTTTTCCAAAGTTAACGCTGCTCCTTTACCTTAGTTTGTTTATCACTTATCTGTCCTTTTGCTTTAATTGAACATGTAGGTCTGTAAATATATATCAACTATTTCATTAAACTCCATGTTATAAACGAGCCTTTTTTATACCAGTATCAAAATGCTAGTGCAACGTTTGTCTCTGTGGCTGTTTGTTTGAAAGTAGATTTAAATCATGTATTGTTAATACCAAAGACGTTCAACTCCGACAAGTTTTTGCATGCGACCTACGTCATGAAAGGTATCGTTTAAATCAAACCTTCGACACATGTAAGCGAGAGCACGTTTCGTGTCTTGCTACTTGTTATAAGCTCACTACACCAGCCACCTCACGAAAGAGCTCGGGGGTACCGCTGGTAACGTACCGCAAGTACTGCAACATCCTTACCAGCGTTGGATGACTACTTTTCGGTCGGATGGTTGCAAGCTCATAGCGTGCAACAAAATTGTCGGTTCCAAGAAAACGTATACTGCAAAAAGCCGACAATTGCCACAAGCTTGGACAGTTGCTTATTTATTGTTGCCTTCTTTTATTTTTTCTTCAACTAACCACCAATGCTCTTTTTAAAACAAACAATGCGGCGCTTATTACTATTAATGTCACTATTCGGCCTAAAGGTAAAGCAACTAAATAGCGCACGTAGGCAAATAAGGCGTAATGGGGAGGGGGGGGGGGGGGGGTTTGGGAGGACAAAACCCTTTGGCAGGTTTTTGCGCCTTCGGGTTATGGGGACAACAAAAAAACCACCCCCATTTATCGCCCCAGATGGGAAGAGACAAGGCCTGAACCCCAGTCAACACACAACCTCGATGCCNTTCGGTCGGATGGTTGCAAGCTCATAGCGTGCAACAAAATTGTCGGTTCCAAGAAAACGTATACTGCAAAAAGCCGACAATTGCCACAAGCTTGGACAGTTGCTTATTTATTGTTGCCTTCTTTTATTTTTTCTTCAACTAACCACCAATGCTCTTTTTAAAACAAACAATGCGGCGCTTATTACTATTAATGTCACTATTCGGCCTAAAGGTAAAGCAACTAAATAGCGCACGTAGGCAAATAAGGCGTAATGGGGAGGGGGGGGGGGTGGTTTGGGAGGACACAACCCTGTGGCAGGTTTTTGCGACTTCAGGTTATGCGGACAACAAAAACACCAGCCTCATTTATCGTCCCACTACCGTGGGGTAGGAAAGAGTATTGGCAGAGCCTTTCTTAGTATCTCCCCAGCGCCTCGCGGGCTGGATCGGACAAGATTAAGGCAAATGATTAAGATGGAAAGACACAAGCAATGCCAAAAGCTTGGGGGAAGTGGCAACGCAGACTTACGCCCACCACAAGGAGTGACCTCCCAAACTTTATATATATATGTTGTAGTTAATTTTTTATCTCAGGTAATTTTTATTTTTCCTTTGTTTCAACTTCGTTAGCATACATTATCATACCCAAAAACAAAAGAAAAACAAAAATTACCTGAGATAAAAAATTAACTACAACATATACATAACACAACAAAACTCCTCCAAAGGGAGGGGAGAGTGGGTAACAAAATTACTGTAACTGTTTGCTTTCGTGCAAGGCAAAAGCTAGACGAATAATGACCAGGTGTGAAATAGCAATAGCAGAACTTTTATAGCTAGTC